TAGAAATAGAAGTGATTTTGATTCGTTTTACTATGAAAAGGATCTTGAAATGGAGCTCAAAGTGGCAGAAATAGTATTAAATTTTTGCCGATGTTCAAGGGTAAAAAAATGATGTCATTGTCCAATAAATGTCCAACTAGCCATTCTAACATGCAGTCACGAATGGGTTGATGTTATTTATACAATTATTACAATATTGCAGTAGTCTGCATAACAATAAATCTTCTATTTTGTGTGTGACTAAAAATTCAAAATAGAAAGCAAGAGTATTATAACAGAGGCCTGGAGACATGACTAATGAACAGAGAAAAATGTTATATTAGTGCCAAGAATGTCTGCATTGTTCATTCTGGACACTATTTTGAAATTGACATTTTTTAAATTGCATGAAATTGGCCAAATTGCCAATTTCTGACCACTTTATTGGGTAGCTGAAATCAGTAAATGGGCAGTTTCTTGTACTCAATCGATAAAACTAATGGAGTTCTAAAGAAATAGCTATGAGTTTGGTGGACTGGAACACTGGAATTGGCCGAAAATAGGGCTCAAAGTGGGCAAAATTGCTGATGCGTAAATGTTGCCAAGGTCGCTAAATTCGCGAGTGTAATTCCACAAGTTTTCCATCAAATTTCATACTTTTCATGTCATTATCATCAGGAAAAGATTCTCTATCATTTCATAGGATTTTTTTTTTTTTTTTTCAAATATTTTGTGACACAAGGAGACACTTCAGGATTTGGGGTTGCAACAGTCAAAGGGTTAATGCTGATATTCTTCTTGGCATCATCACTTGCTTTAGAGAACATTGTTAACCCTTAAACTGTCCAAACGTAGATCTACGTTTTTCAACATTTGAAACTATGTAAAAAAACGTAGACCTTTTTATTTTTACATTTGAAAATATGTAAAAAAACTTTGATCCACATTTTTTATATATATATATATATTTTAAAATATGTAAAAAAAACACAGATCTACTTTTGGAGCACTACGCATGTGAACGTAGATCTGTTTGGACAGTTTAAGGGTTAATAACAGTGTACAAGCACTTGAATAAACAATAAACACAGTTAATCCAGAGAAAATTGGAGTCCAAATGATGATGGTATGTGACTGTGTTCAGACAAAGTAATGTGGGCTGAGTCACTGGCCCTACTTCTCAAGAACAAAAAAAATGGACAGGTCCTGGACACAGTCTGTGCCCGATGAAACTGCGATGAAGTGAACTTGGCTTTCTCCATCCGAGCCAAAACATTTTGTCTCTTATATATATGCAGTAGGGCCCCTCTTATACGGCAGGTTAGGTTCTAGGCTACTGCCGGAAAGCAGACATCGCCAGAAAGCAGAACTCCATTTTTACCACTTATAAATGCAAATAAATGCCAGGTAACAAGTTTACACTAACATATACCGTGGAATCTTGACTTATGAGTTAAATCCATCCTGTGACCTAGCTCGTAACTCAAATCAATTCTACTCATTTAAATTAATTGAAAAGCCATTAATCCGTTCCTGCACTCTGGAGACAAGACAAAATACCTGAATATGATGCTAATATCAACTGTATGGCTTATTTATCTATCACAATTCATCTAATATGACATAATAAACAATATAATTAACACAGAAACATGATATATACTCTAGAATGAATAAAGTAGGCCATAATATGGTGGCAGAGGCAGTGGTGGAAGCATCCACCAATTCCTGTCCAGCTTTGACTATAGTATCTTCCCATGCTCTTATTGTAAGAGAAAACGGAGTATTTGTGAGGCTAACTGCAGAAATATCATATATAAAACATAATAAATCATAATAGTATACTAAAAAATTGTAGGTAGTAGGTTGGTAGACAGCAACCGCCCAGGGAGGTACTAACGTCCTGCCAAGTGAGTGTAAAACAGAAGTCTGTAATTGTTTTACACGATAGTAGGATTGCTGGTGTCTTTTTTTTTCTGTCTTATGAACATGCAAGGTTTCAGGTACGTCTTGCTACTTCTACTTACACTTAGGTCACACTACACATACATGTACAAGCATATAGTATATACACACCCCTCTGGGTTTTCTTCTATTTTCTTACTAGTTCTTGTTCTTGTTTATTTCCTCTTACCTCCATGGGGAAGTGGAACAGAATTCTTCCTCCGCAAGCCATGCGTGTCATAAGAGGATACTAAAATGCCAGGAGAAAAGGGCTAGTAACCCCTTCTCCTGTATATATTACTAAATGTAAAAGGAGAAACTTTCCTTTTTTCTTTTGGGCCACCCCGCCTCGGTGGGATGCGGCCGGTTTGTTGAAAGAAAGATTATAGGTCCCAGCAATGTTTTAGACACACTGGAGTATGTATGAAACTCCTTGAAGCATGGTGTAAGACGAGTGTCACTCCACTGTTGACAGTGCAGCAGTGACATTTGATGATTGTGCACTGCCTTGGCTTTATTTGTTTTTACTGTTACACATAAACATGTCTCTCTGTCTACCTTTCTGCTGTCTGTGTCTGTCCATCTGTATGTCTGTCTAGCTTTCTCTGTTTATCTCTGTCTCTGCTTATCTGTCTCTCTGTCTGCTTGTCTCTCTTTCTGTCTCAGAGAGAGCCACTCATGAACCAACAGGTATTACACACAATGCAGTCATCAAGTCTGATTCCTGAACAAGTGAAAATGCGTATTACCTGCCAGTCGTGCTTATTATGCATTATATCTACAAGCACAGTACAGCACTTTGTCTGGATTTTCTGGGTTATCCTAGGCAATTTACACTATGTATAATTGTATTTGTGTGTACCTGTGAGATAGAGACAGATGCAGAGACAGACAGAGATAGACAGATAGATATAGATACAGACGGAGAAACAGCTAATGTCAATCAATCAGCCAGCCAGCCAGCCTGCTGAATACGTATTACACACGTTCCAGAATTGTTTCTCTTTACTTAGAGCATAATTATAGGACATTCTGGCAAGATAACACTGCCAGTGTACCAAAAGTGGAAGGATGTTGCACAAATATTGCACAAAGGTTATTATTAAGTTTTTTTATATTTCCTCGACGACTTGTGGCCACATACTTCTCAAAGCCACTAAACTCAGGGTCACAATCACTTTCCTCTTAAAAGGAGAGTGTTAATACTACATGGCATCAGTGAATCCCAGGTGTTTGCCACATTGTTTGCTCTAGCTGGCGCTCAATTGAACTGGTGCTCCCACAAGGTACTAAGTAGTCCAAAAATTTTTTAATACTGCACACACTGAGTGTTAAGATGCATTCTATGCTGACCAGGCATCTCAGGCCAATTGCGCCAAATATATATAGGCAGGAAAAATAAAACGTTGCTCTACGTTTGGTGTGCTAGCGGTAATAACGCAGATCTACATTTAGACAGTTTAAGGGTTAAAGGAGGGGTGTGGGATATTTGCTGTTTGGAGTGATATCTAAACTGTCACTACTGCAAAGACAGTGATTAAGTGAGAATGATGGTGAAAAATGTTTCTTTCTTTTTTGGGTCACCCTGCCTCAGTGGGCGACGGTCGATGTGTTAAAAAAATAATCCCTCCATACTCCATCCCTTCCATTTGATATCCAATCTTTCATTACCCAGACTTCTTTGTTATTCTCATCTCATTCTTCCCATTTATAACATCACCAATATTATTACCAGAACCATGTTACAGTGGACCCTCGGATATCAGCCGTTCCTGTTATCGGCCAACTCGGTTATAGGCCGGTTTTTCAATTACAGGTTATCAGCCGTTATTTCGCTCACTGGCCGTATGGGATGCGTCTATCTGCCAGCCCAGCCGCTTGCGCGTCAGTTTGGCTGTGTCTCTGGGTGAATGAGCAAGCTTCTGCTCATTCATCCAAACAATTCACTATATATTCATTGTTTTTGATGTTTTTTTGAAGGGCAACTGTGAAATAAGTAACCATGGCCCCAAAGAAAGTTCCTAGCAAAATTCCTTTGGTAAAGAAAATGAAAAACATGATGGAATTTAAGAAAGAAATTGTAGCAAAGTACAAGAGTGGTGGTGGTAGAGGGTGGTAATGATGGTGGTAGAGGGCAGTAGTGGTTGTGATGGTGGTAGAGGGCAGTAGTGGTTGTGATGGTGGTAGAGGGTGGTAGTGATGGTGGTAGAGGGTGGTAGTGGAAGAGGGTGGTAGTGGAAGAGGGTGATAGTGATGGTGGTAGTGGTTGTGATGGTGGTAGAGGGTGGTAGTGGTTGTGATGGTGGTAGAGGGTGGTAGTGGAAGAGGGTGATGGTGATGGTGGTAGAGGGTGGTAGTGGAAGAGGGTGATAGTGATGGTGGTAGAGGGTGGTAGTGGCTGTGATGGTGGTAGAGGGTGGTAGTGGTTGTGATGGTGGTAGAGGGTGGTAGTGGTTGTGATGGTGGTAGAGGGTGGTAGTGGCTGTGATGGTGGTAGAGGGTGGTAGTGGTTGTGATGGTGGTAGAGGGTGGTAGTGGTTGTGATGGTGGTAGAGGGTGGTAGTGGCTGTGATGGTGGTAGAGGGTGGTAGTGGCTGTGATGGTGGTAGAGGGTGGTAGTGGCTGTGATGGTGGTAGAGGGTGGTAGTGGTTGTGATGGTGGTAGAGGGTGGTAGTGATGGTGGTAGAGGGTGGTAGTGGCTGTGATGGTGGTAGAGGGTGGTAGTGGTTGTGATGGTGGTAGAGGGTGGTAGTGATGGTGGTAGAGGGTAGAGCTGCAAAACCTTCATCTAGAACAGCAACAGACCACAGCCAAGAAAAGTCTTCAATAAAGGTATGTAATACCGATTTAATTATTCATGTATTTATTTTATTTAGTTTTCATTGTTTTGTGTATGTAAAACTGTAATTAATCTTTAAATTTTTTTTTTTGTGCATATTTTTGGGTGTCTGGAACGGATTAATTGTATTTACATTAATTCTTATGGCAAATATTATTTCGGTTTTCGGCCATTTCGGTTTTAGGCCAAGCTTCTGGAACAGATTACGGCTGATAACCAAGGGTCTACTGTACTAACCCCTTGACTGCAGAGGTCGAGAGAATATTCTGCCATAAAGGTGGTCTTGCCTGAACCAGTTGGACCCGTCAACACCGTCATTTCCCCAGCCCGGTGACCCAGCAGCAGTGTATTAAGCTCGACGAACCTCTTCCACTGCACACCACAAGTCTGAAAACAAAATTTATATAATAATTCTGCAATTAAATCCATTTATGACACCAGCAGTATTGTAGGTTATTAAGAATTATTGATAAACTAACTTACAAAAAATTCAAATGTTCTACACTATTATTTTATTATTACTATTATTAAGTTGTCATTATTATTATAATTATTATTATTGTGTTATTATTACATGAGTCTGACTCTAGCTACTTAGTTAGACCTGTCAGCTCACACTGTTAGACCTGTCAGCCAATACTGTTAGACCTGTCAGCCCACACTGATAGACCTGTCAGCCCATACTGCTAGACCTGTCAGCACACATTGTTGGACCTGTCAGCACACACTCTTAGACCCATCAGCACACATTCTTAGACCTGTCAGTACACATTGTTAGACCTGTCAGCCCACACTGTTAGACCTGTCAGCCCATACTGCTAGACCTGTCAGCACACACTGTTGAACCTGTCAGCATACACTGTTAGACCTGTCAGCATTCACTGCTAAACCTGTCAGCAAACACTGTTAAACCTGTCAGCACACACTGTTAAACCTGCCAGCACACAATGTTAAACCTGCCAGCACACACTGTTAAACCTGTCAGCACACACTGTTAGACCTGTCAGCCCATATTGTTAGACCTGTCAGCACACACTGTTGGATCTGTCAGCACACACTGTTGGGCCTGTCAGCATTCACTGTTAAACCTGTCAGCACACACTGTTAGACCTGTTGGCCCACAGTTATACCTGTCAGCACACACTGTTAGACCTGTCAGTCCACACTGTCAGACCTACCATCTTACACTGTTCGACCTGTCAGCCCACACTGTTAGACCTGTCCACCCACACTGTTAAACCTACCATCACACACTGATAGGCCTACCAGCCTATTCTGTCACACCTGTCATCACCTTAGTTTAATCACTTAACATTAAAATCCTACTTCTTTCAACAAACTGGCCATATCCCACTGAAGCAGGTGGCCCAAAAAGAAAAACAAAAGTTTCTCTTTTTAACTTTAGTAATGTATACAGGAGAAGAAGTTACTAGCCCCTTGCTCCTGGCATTTTAGTCGCCTCTTACGACATGCATGGCCTACATAGGAAGAACTCTGTTCCATTTCCCCATGGAGATAAGAGGAAATAAACAAGAAAAACTAGTAAGAAAATAGAAGAAAATCCAGAGGGGTGTGTAAATATATGTTTGTGCATGTATGTGTAGTGTGACCTAAGTGTAAGTAGAAGTAACAAGATGTACCTGAAACTTTGCATGTTTATGAGACAAAAAAAAGACACCAGCAATCCTACCATCATGTAAAACGATTACAGGCTTTTGTTTTGCACTAACTTGGCAGGACGGTAATACCTCCCTAGGCAGTTGCTGTCTACCAACCTACTACCTAGGACAATAACCCTTTGACTGTTTCAGTCGTGTATATACGTCTTACGAGCCAGTGTTTTTGACGTATTAATATGCCAAAATTCTAGTGGCTTCAAATCAAGCAGGAGAAACCTGGTAGGCCCACATGTGAGAGAATGGGTCTGCATGGTCAGTGCGCGCAGTATAAAAAATATAAGGGAGCCAGTGGTGCATTATGGGAATGCTATTTCAGCAGTCCTTGCTTAGCATGCCTAGTGGTAAGAAATATCTGACTCCCGGCAAATCTGGGACTCTTCTCTTCCCAAGTGATGCTCTAACACAGACAGAAGTGTCTCTGAAGATGAATTTCATGGTTTTGAAGAGTTTGTGACCAAAAGCAATGCCCAGGATACCAGAAGGAAGGAAGAAAAGAAGGAAGAAAGTAAGGAAGGAAGAAAGTATGAAGAAAGGAAGAAAGAAAGGAAATAAGGAAGAAAGTAAAGAAGGATGAAAGAAAGGAAGGAAGAAAAGAAGGAAGGAAGGAAGAAAAGAAGGAAGGAAGGAAGAAAAGAAGGAAGGAAGAAAGGAAGGAAGAAAAAGAAAGAAAGAAAGAAAGAAAGAAAGAAAAAAAAAAAAAAGGAAGGAAGGGCACCAAGACGACCGTCAACCTAGGATAACCCAAAAAAGTCAAAGTGAATTTATTTCCATGTTGGTTGGTGGGGAAGACGGTATCAGGTGGTGGTGGTGTAATGCTGTGTCATGTACCCAGGCTGGTAGCCTAGGTACATCAATCAGCACATTCACAAGGCCAGCTTCATTCAGCCACCCACACACCACAATAACTTACACACCCACAACAACCTGCACAATCACAACAACCTGCACAACTAAAACAATCTGCAATCACAACAACCTACACTACCACAACAACCTGCACAATCACAACAACCTGCACAATCACAACCTGCACAATCACAACCTGCACAACCACAATAACCTACACAATCACAACCTGCACAATCACAACTTGCACAACCACAACAACCTGCACAATCACAACCTGCATAATCACAACAATCTGCACAACCACAACAACTTGCACAATCACAACAACCTGCACAATCACAACACCCTGCACAACCACAACTTGCACAACCACAATAACCTGTACAATCACAACAACCTGCACAACCACAACAACCTGCACAATCACAACTTGCACAACCATAACAACCTGCACAATCACAACCTGCACAATCACAACCTGCACAATCATAACCTGCACAATCACAACAACCTGCACAGCCACAACAACCTGCACAATCACAACAACCTGCACAATCACAACAACCTGCACAACCACAACAACCTGCACAATCACAACAACCTGCACAATCACAACCTGCACAATCACAACACCCTGCACAACCACAACAACTTGCACAATCACAACAACCTGCACAATCACAACAACCTGCACAATCACAACAACCTGCACAATCACAACAACCTGCACAATCACAACAACTTGCACAATCACAACAACCTGCACAATCACAACAACCTGCACAATCACAACAACCTGCACAATCACAACAACCTGCACAACCACAACAACCTGCACAATCAAACACCCTGCACAATCACAACACCCTGCACAATCACAACAACTTGCACAATCACAACAACCTGCACAATCACAACAACCTGCACAATCACAACAACCTGCACAATCACAACAACCTGCACAATCACAACCTGCACAACCACAACAACCTGCACAATCACAACCTGCACAATCACAACTTGCACAACCCCAACAACCTGCACAATCACAACAACCTGCACAACCCCAACAACCTGCACAATCACAACAACCTGCACAACCCCAACAACCTGCACAATCACAACAACCTGCACAACCCCAACAACCTGCACAATCACAACAACCTGCACAATCACAACAACCTACACAACCACAACCTGCACAATCACAACCTGCACAATCACAACAACCTGCACAACCACAACAACTCACCAACAAAATGAAGACACACTCGTTTTATGTGTGAGGAGTGTGAAACAAGAGTGTGTATAACACCATGTTTCAAAGAGTTCCACAAGCTGCAGCACTTCTAGGGACGTGCCCAGTGACTCTGTATGTGCATATACAGTGGACCCCCGGTATTCGATATTAATCCGTTCCTGAGAGCTCATCGAATACCGAAAATATCGAAAAGCGAATCAATTTTCCTCATAAGAAATAGTGGAAATCAAATTAATCCATGCAAGACACCCAAAAACATGAAAAAAAAAATTTTACCACATGAAATATTAAGTTTAATGCAATAGAATAATTACAATAACAACAAGAACAATAGAATAATTGACACTTACCTTTAATGAAGATCTGGTGATGATTGATGGGATGGGAGGAGGGGAGAGTGTTAGTGTTTAGAAGGGGAATCCCCTTCCATTAGGACTTGAGGTAGCAAGTCCTTTTCCGGGGTTAATTCCCTTCTTTTAATGCCACTAGGACCAGCAATTAGTATATATTCCAATTACTTTTTTGCAAGTACCAAAACTATCTTTTGCTAGCTAGTACCAACTACCTCATTTTTTTTTACTTTTTATTGTGCAATAAACTGCTCAACTATTTAATATTACAAATCAGATCTTACTCCTAAACCAATATTATTTCATAGTGACCATCTGTCCATTTAACTTTGTTTACCATTACTTAATTTTAGTCCCTTATATATTTTCTCCTTTATTTTAGCTTTATATAACTACCCTAGTTTATATATTCACAATTGTTAAAATAATCAAGGTGCTATTCTCAGGTGCTAAAATAGAATAAGTTCACAATTTTGCCATTATATTCCAAAGCTCATTTATTTGATTACCACTTTATAGTTCACCACAACTTATATTAGTCCCTTTTATATTATAATTTTATACTATAATTCTAACTTTAAAGAATTACCTTTATAGTACTACCTACTATCATATTCCCAAGCTCCATTATTTGATCATCACTTTATTTGTATTAGTCCCTTTTATATTGTCTCCTTTATTTTAGCTTAAAAAAAGAAAAAAAAAAAGAAAAAAAAAACTACTTTAGCTCATTATTTTACATTTGTTAAATAGTTCAGGTGCTATTTTTTAGCTTAAGACATTTACTTTTTTTATATTAATTAAAACTAAATTCCTACAAATCTTATGTTTACAAGCATTGATCCTATACCAACCTCTTATAAATGACTTAAATAAACCAAACGTTACTTAATTACACACTGCAAAAAATCAAAGGCACTCTCAGTGCCAATAACAACTAACTATCTTTAAACAATATCAATCTTTAAGCAAGCATTACATCCTCATAGCAACAAAATTTCCCTTACATCCAGTATGTCCATAAATACACAACTGAACCGGCAAAAACCTGATTACAGATGTCTATGCCTTTCCTTTTACACGCCAAAACACAACTGTGGGCCAACAAAAAGGGGGGGTGCACACATATACTACTCAACCAACTAGAATTATCACTAATACTTAAAGGGGGATGAACAGGGGGAATAAAATCTAAATTCAAATCCAAATCCTAAAAAACCTCTCACATGAAAACATCACGAGTTCCACATCAAACATTAGCCAATTTATCAAAACCTAGGAATATGATAACGATGCACGCATGAACAAAGACTTTTTCAACTCTCGGGTGACTCAATAAAATCTCCGCAAGACCAACCCACAGTTAGGAATCACAAACACAACTATGTTGACCAACATAACAAAACCTACAAAGTTACAGAGACTATTTCCCTACTTGACCACATCGGGCCAACACCATATCCCCTTTAAAACGGGATAATTTCAGAAATACCCAACCACTACCCACTTTCCTCATAACAACTCTTTTAAACTACCCCAAACATACTAAAATCCCCCTTTAGACTTTTACAATGAGCAGCCCTTTAAAAACTTCACAACACAGTAGCAAAAATTGACTGGCACACTGAGCAGAAATCTATACAGATATTGACAATGTATTAATAATTTTTAAAAAACCCAATACCTCTATAAAACACGCCCCAAAAAAAACAAAACAGATGACACTAAAGCTGAAAAGTCCCGGCTAAACCCCGCATTCTCAAATCCATAATACAAAAAACCAATATGAAAAACATACAGAAGGGGCACATAACCAGAACCAAACAAACGTTACTCTCAATCCTAACCAGCCTGATAAGAAGGCAAAAAAAAATTTTATTATGAGAACAGATTAACCAACTTACGAGGTGATATAAAAAAAGCCGGAAAACCCTACAAAATTTTGGGAACAAAAAAGATATCACAAAAAAGCGAAATAAAATAGCAAAAACAGATGAACCCCAACTCCCACCAACAGAAACAGCAAACAGACTCAATGATTTCTTCTCCACTATAGGACAAAACCTTGCCAATAAAATCCCAAGCTCAGATACCCCACCAAATGACTACCTCACCGCAACTACCCGAACACACTGTTCCTAGCTCCGACTAACCCATACGAAGTCTCCCTTATTATCAACGCACTAAAAAACAAGGCAGGAGGTTTAAATACCTTACCACCCTTTATATACAAAAAAGTGTCACAAGTGCTATCACCAATCATTGCAACACTATTTAACAAATCCATTGAATCCTCCACCTTCCCTACAGTACTCAAAATAGCAAGGTCACCCCGATCCACAAAGGAGGAGACCAAACAGAGTTGAATAACTATAGGCCAATATCCAACTTACAACCCTCTCTCAAAAATCTTCGAAAAATTAATTCATAAACGAATCTACTCCTACCTTATCTCCCAAAACATACTCAACCCCTGCCAATTTGGATTCAGGCCTAATAAAAATACTAATGATGCTATTATACACATGCTAGAACATATATACACTGCAATAGAGAAAAAAGAAGTCCCACTGGAGATCTTCATTGACTTACGTAAAGCTTTTGATACAGTTGACCATGACTTGCTCCACGTAAAATTGTCACACTATGGTATAAGAGGGCACTCCCTCAACTACCTCAAGTCATACCTCAGCAACAGAAGTCAATATGTGTATGCAAATGGGGCAAACTCTTCTGCACAACCAATTACAGTTGGTGTCCCACAGGGAAGTGTCCTTGGCCATCTTCTCTTTCTCCTATACATAAATGACCTACCAAATGCTTCGCAATTACTCAAACCCACACTATTTGCAGATGACACTACATACGTCTTCTCCCACCCGAGCCCAGTCAAGCTAGCCAATACTGTAAATACCGAATTACAGAAAATATCTACCTGGATGAGGACTAACAAACTTACACTAAACATTGACAAAACCTACTTCATTCAGTTTGGTAACAGAGCTACAGATGTCCCTCTTAACATAATGATAAACGGATCACCTATCACAAAGCTAACAGAGGGAAAATTCTTAGGAATCCACCTTGATAATAGACTCAAATTTCATACACATATACAACAAATTTCTAAAAAAATTTCCAAGACTGTAGGCATACTATCGAAGATACGGTACTATGCTCCACAGTCAGCCCTCCTGGCCCTATATCACTCGCTTATTTACCCCTATCTCACCTATGGAATTTGTGCATGGGGCTCAACAACAATTAACCATCTCAGACCACTAATTACCCAACAAAAGGCTGCAGTTAGAATGATAACAAATTCTCACTACAGGCAGCACACTCCACCAATATTCAATACACTAAACCTACTCACCATACAAAACATCCATACTTATTACTGCACCTATTACATACATAGAACACTTAACTCTGATATTAACCCTCCCCTCAAACATCTCCTTGCCAACCTCAACAGAACACATGACCATAACACACAAGGCACAGATCACTCTTTGATGTTCCTCGTGTCCATCTCACACTATGCAAAAACTCAATGCACATAAAAGGCCCTAAAATCTGGAATTCATTACCTGTAAATATAAAAGAAACACTACCTGTTTATAAATTCAAGTCTCTTCTCAAAGATCACTTACTCACCCAAAACCAAATAAATACTGAATAACTCAACCTTATAAATTGTATATCTTAAATGTTTCTCACAATTATATCACATAAATGTTAAACCTAAAACCCAATCTAACTTTACTATTTTTTTAAATACACTACCTAACAGAATTCTCCATACGACTGAATGTACAACAATGCATTCAACCATATGACCTGTCTTTGTAATACTCACTTGTGCTTTATAGTAATCTGTTTACATTAATGTTTTATCACTGATTTCATCATTGCTTAGTTAATCTTAAGTTAATTTTAAGCCAGCCCGTAATGCTATGCATAGTATAAGTGGCTTTGGCATGCTGCTCTTATCTGTATTTTTTTTTTGTACCTCTGTATGTGTGCTCAAATTGTAATAAATAAATAAATAAATATAAAAAAAATAAATAAAATGATAATAATGTTTGTGCGATTATTGTGTTGCATACGAGTGTATATATGTACACTGCACCTTACTTTGGTCTCTCAGGCCACATAAGTTACTTGAAAAAAACAAAATTTGAAAAAGACAAGAAACCTTCAAATGGGAGTAAATATAAGAATATCGGGTGACCAGCATTCACCGCTGATGCCATATGCATCTCATTTTCTGCTAACTTTATGCCTCTATATCTCGGAAATTACCGATTGCAAAAAAAAAAAAAAAATTTGGAGGCTTAAAACAATCAGCAAATTAATCTTAACATTTTGGTAAGAAAAATTTTTTTTTTTTTTGTGAATATTTTGCGACATACAGAGACACTTCAGGATTGGGGTTGTGACAGTCAAAGGGTTAAAATTCTACATGTATCAAAACATCTTATGTCAGCCAAGTGAGAGCATATGCTGATCAATCGTAAATAATGATGTTAAAAAGTACATTAACAAACATAAATGAGATCTGTTAAGTAAAAAGACATATATGCAACTACATGTAATGTGACATTTTATTATGGCAATGTTTTGCTCTACAGTAGTTTTGTCAAGCAGTTATGTAACCTGGAAAGTACTAGAGGGCCTGGTCCCAAATCTACACACTGCCATAACAGCATACTGGAGTGAGAGATATGGGAGGAAGTGCAAAATAAACCCAGTGAGGAGCAAGGGTGCAGTGGGCACAATAAGGAAACACTATCAACATTTGGGGTCCCAGACTATTCAAGATCTTACCAGAAGATATCAGAAACACAGCTGGAAGAAGTGTAGAAGTCTTCAAGAGGAAACTGGACAAGTATCTTCACCAGGTGCCAGATCAACTAAGCTGTGACGTATATGTGGGGCAGCCGGCCTCCAGCAGCAACAGTGGTTGACCAGGCAAGCACCAGACAAGCCTGGCCCATGGCTGAGACTCTTGAAACTCATTGAAGGTAGGTCAAAGGTAAAGGTATAACAGCTTGATAAAGCTCCTGGAGAGCAAAACATCACAATAATTGTCATGTTAGTTGCACAAGTGACCTCTTACCTAACATAGCTGATAATTTTAGCATTACAGTACTAAAATAAATGCAATGTACCTCTTCCTTGTGTGTGATCCTGTGATAGATCTTATCCTTGAGTTGCTGGAAGGTAGTGATGCTCTCTGATACCACTGGGATGGTAGTCCTAAGAGCAGCCTTTATTTCCTCTACTGGCTTGGTGTGTATTGGACGGTCATTCAATGACGAGCTGTAAACGTCAAGTAAATTTTCAGTCATATTTGCTATTTCTCATTTTCAATTGTCTTTTTATTTAACACAATGGCTGTTTCCCACCAAGGTAGGGGGACTTCAAGAGGAAGAAGAATCACTTTCATCATCACTCACTCCATCACTACCTTGCCAGAGGCATGCCAATACTACAGTTCAAAAACTGAAACATATCTCCTACCCCTCCTTCAGAGTGCAAGCACTGTACTTCCCACCTCCAGGACTCAAGTTGAGCTAACTGGTTTCCCTGAATCCCTTCATAAATGTTACTTTGCTCACACTCCAATGGCACATCAAGTTATAAAACCCATTTGTCTCTACTCACTCTTCTAACACTCACACATGCCTGCTGGAATTCAAAGACCCTCGCACACAAAACCTTCTTTACCCCCTCCCTCCAACCTTTCCTAGACCGACCCCCTATCCTGCCTATCTCCGCTACAGATTTATGCACTGCACGATGTAAATCATGTTCAATGTTGCAAAGACCTAAGACAGCAGTGATATAAGCAATAAATTACAGTAACAGTTGCTGAAGTAAGTATTAACAAAAAAAATATTAACTCATTATAATTACAGTAGGGCCCTGTTTACGGCGTTCTGCTAATATGGTAATTTCAAATTATGACCAAAACTTGCTATACAGTTCATGGTCTTTCTAATACAGCACGCTCCACCTGGTTTGCTTACATTCTCCGTGAGAACATCTCTATTACATTTCGAAACTTTCCAAAATTTCATGTTTTAAAGTTATTGCATATTTTATATGTATGTACTCTGATAATTATACTTATGTGTACCTGTACCTAAATATACTTACACACTGTGCTGGCATGCAGATACACATTAAAAATCACTAGGTCTCTCTCTACTCTTGACGCCACATTAATAATAATACATAATCTCTTGGGCGCATTAAATGTCGTATATTACATTAACCCTTTGAGGGTCGCCAGGCCCTCTCAGACTTGTTCTCAGGATCACCAAAATTAAAAAAAAATAAATTATTTTTTCTTATGAAAAGATAGAGAATCTTTTCCCGATCATAATGACACCAAAAGTATGAAATTTGATGGAAAACTTTCGGAATTATGCTCTTGCGAAGTTAACGGTCTCGACGATGTTCACACATCGGCGATTTTGCCCACTTTGAGCCCTATTTTCAGCCAATTCCAGTGTATTAGTCAACAAAACTCATAACTATTTCGTTAGAACTCCGTTTTTTCTATCGAATGAGTACAAGAAACCACCCATTTACTGATTTCAACTATCCAATAAAGTGGTCAGAATTTAGCAATTTTGCCAATTTCACACAAATTTCAAAAGATGCCAATTTCCAAATAGGGTCCAGAATAAACAAGAAAGACATTCCTGGCACTAAAATAACATTTCCTCTGTTCATTAGTCATGTCCCCATGCCCCTCTTACATTTCTTTTGCTTTCCACTTTGAATTTTCATTCTCACAAAAAATAGAAGATTTACTGTTATGCAGACTACTGTATTAGTGTAGAAATGGTATAAATAATATCAGCGCACTTGTGAAAGAATATTAGATTCACCAGTTGACATGTATTGGACGCGTGGCATGATTTGTTTACTTTTGAAGTTTGGCAAAAATCGAACAATTCTGCTACTTTGAGCTCAATTTCAAGGTACTTTTCATTATGAAACCAATCAAAATCATCTCAATTTCTGTAATATGTCTTCCATTCTATAAAATAAGACCAGGAAAACTAGAATACAACCATAAATACCATACGAAAATACAGTGCAAAGTCGCTGTTTTATTCCAAAAACACGGTCAAAGTTTTTTTTTCTCATTTTTTTATACTGCGCACACTGACCACATAGACCCATTCTTTCACCAGCTTTCTCTTGCTTGAACTAGTACGGCCGAAACCCCGAAAGGGTTAATATAGACATTTCCATTAATCCATCTATGATATTTGTTTTCAAAATTATATAATAAACACGCTATGTAACGTACAAACATGATAAATACACCCCACAGTAGAATAAATTAACAGAAATATGAGATGTGGTAGCCAGGCGACTTGTAGGACTTGTGGTAGCCAGGCGACTTGTAATCTAACATCAGAGAAAATATTTTTTTTTTTTATTATCACACTGGCCGATTCCCACCAAGGCAGGGTGGCCCGAAAAAGAAAAACTTTGACCACAATTCACTCCATCACTGTCTTGCCAGAAGGGTGCTTTACACTACAGTTTTTAAACTGCAACATTAACACCCCTCCTTCAGAGTGCAGGCACTGTACTTCCCATCTCCAGGACTCAAGTCTGGCCTGCCGGTTTCCCTGAACCCCTTCATAAATGTTACTTTGCTCACACTCCAACAGCACGTCAAGTATTAAAAACCATTTGTCTCCATTCACTCCTATCAAACACGCTCACGCATACCTGCTGGAAGTCCAAGCCCCTCTCACACAAAACCTCCTTTACCCCCTCTCTCCAACCCTTCCTAGGCCAACCCCTACCCCGCCTTCCTTCCACTACAGACTGATACACTCTTGAAGTCATTCTGTTTCGCTCCATTCTCTCTACATGTCCGAACCACCTCAACAACCCTTCCTCAGCCCTCTGGACAACAGTTTTGGTAATCCCGCACCTCCTCCTAACTTCCAAACTACGAATTCTCTGCATTATATTCACACCACACATTGCCCTCAGACATGACATCTCCACTGCCTCCAGCTTTCTCCTCGCTGCAACATTCATCACCCATGCTTCACACCCATATAAGAGCGTTGGTAAAACTATAAATCTCATACATTCCCCTCTTTGCCTCCAAGGACAAAGTTCTTTGTCTCCACAGACTCCTAAGTGCACCACTCACTCTTTTTCCCTCATCAATTCTATGATTCACCTCATCTTTCATAGACCCATCCGCTGACACGTCCACTCCCAAATATCTGAATACATTCACCTCCTCCATACTCTCTCCCTCCAATCTGATATTCAATCTTTCACCACCTAATCTTTTTGTTATCCTCATAACCTTACTCTTTCCTGTATTCACCTTTAATTTTCTTCTTTTGCACACCCTACCAAATTCATCCACCAATCTCTGCAACTTCTCTTCAGAATCTCCCAAGAGCACAGTGTCATCAACAAAGAGCAGCTGTGACAACTCCCACTTTGTGTGTGATTCTTTATCTTTTAACTCCATGCCTCTTGTCAAGACCCTCGCATTTACTTCTCTTACAACCCCATCCATAAATATATTAAACAACCACGGTGACATCACACATCCTTGTCTAAGGCCTACTTTTACTGGGAAATAATTTCCCTCCCTCCTGTGTCACTAAAATATTACTGGGGGTAGCTAGAAAATTATTCCTTTCATGTGCCTTCACTCAGAGCATCATTTCTTCTAAAAATGGTGTTACAGGAGAATGGGAGTGTTTCTCTATATTTATTCTATTGTATCAATGTGGAGACAACTTGTACACAATGTAAAGTGTATGTATTATGGTATAATACAAACGTGTATGAACGAAAACCAGACGCATTCGCCTGGTTTGTTTACATTACGTGTTGGTGGGGTGGGGTGGGCTGCCCTGGCTGGCTACCATACTTCACAAACCCGACTTCCTACAAAGAAAACTCACCTCTCACCCTACATTAAGACTATAAATATTTTAAGGTAATTAATGAATGTACTGTACAGTGGACCCCGACTAACGAAGGCATCGTCTAATGAAGCATTTGAGCGTAAAAATTTTGGTCCGACCAATGATGAAAAACTCGACCAGCATGATTCATCCCAAATGCATCCACGTGTCCCGTCTGGCCTGAGCGCGCCTTAGCTGCCCTGCCTTCAGTTAGTGTGCCAGTGTTTACAAGCCAGGGCGGTTGCTTCCATGCATACATTCGGTACATTTTGTATTATTCCAGTGTTTTTAGTGCTTGTAACTGCTAAATAAGCCAACATGGGCCCAAAGAAAGCTTCTAGTGCCAACCCTGTGGTAAAAAGGGTGAGAATTACAATCGAAATGAAAAAGGAAATAATAACAAAATACGAAAGTGGAGTGCGTGTCTCCGAGCTTGCCAGGTTGTATAACAAACCCCAATCAACCATTGCTACTATCTTGGCCAACAGAAAGCCAATCAAGGAAGCTGTTGTTGCAAAAGGTGCAAGTATGTTTTCGAAACACAAATTGCAAGTACTCAAAGATGTTGAGAGACTGTTATTGGAGTGGATAAACGAAAAACAGATATCAGGAAATAGCATCTCTCAAGCGATCATATGTGAAAAGGCATGGCAGTTGCATGAAGATTTAATTAAAAAAATGCCTGCAACTATTGATGATGTGAGTGAATTTAAGGCCAGCAAAGGTTGGTTTGAGAGATTTAAGAATCGTAGTGGTATAAACAGTGTGGTAAGGCACGGTGAGGCTGCCAGTTTCGACCAAAAAGCAGCTGAAAAATATGTGCAGGAATTCCAGGAGTACATAGAGGCTGAAAGATTGCAACCCAACAAGTGTTTAATTGTGATGAAACAGGCCCGTTTTGGAAGATAATGCCAAACAGGACCTACATTACACAGGAGGAAAAAGCACTGCCAGAACACAAGCCTATGAAAGACAGGCTAACCTTAATGTTTGTAGTAATGCTAGTGAGGATTGCAGAGTGAAGCCTCTACTCGTTTATCACCCTGAAACTCCCAGAGTGTTCAAGAAAAACAATGTTGTCAAGGCTAATTTGTGTGTGATGTGGAGGGCAAACAGTAAGGCATGGGTCACTAGGGACATTTTCTATGATTGGTTTTATCATGTGTTTGGCCCCACTGTGAAAAATTACCTCCTCGAAAATAAATTGGACCTTAAATGCCTCCTAGTATTAGACAATGCTCCTGCTCATCCTTCAGACTTGCCAAAGCGAATTTCGGGGGGGTTGTAATGCTACCTGACGAATGTGAGTCGACTACTGGGAGCATCACGACGGACGACGCCAAGGAA